CACACACACACACACACACACACACACACACACACACACACACAGAGAGAGAGAGAGAGAGAGAGAGAGAGAGAGAGAGAGAGAGAGAGAGGTCATCCTTGCAGCAAGAACACCCCTTTATTGTGTTACAGGGCAACTTATATAGGGATCCTTGACTAGTGGCTACACCCTAACTCGCAGCTGCAAACCCACCAGAAACCACTCCCCTGCAATCAGGAACTCCTGAGGGTCTTGTGCTCAGAGCAGCTGCAGGTACAGGAAAACAAGTTGTTTACTCCAAGTAGGCAAGGGGTCACAGGAAATTCAGGGTCTGGAGGTCCACAGTCCCAAACATATATCCAGAAATGGAATTGCTAGATTCTATGGTATTTTTATTTACATTAAAAGTTATTTTATTGTGTACTTATGTATTTATATGTTTATTGAGAAAGGGATTCTTTGTGTAGCCTTGGCTGTCCAGGAGCTGCCTCTGTAGATCAGGCTGGCTTTGAACTCAGAGATCCATCTGTCTCTGCCTCTTGAGTGCTGGGATTAAAGCTTTGTGTCACCACCACCACCTGACTTAAACATTTTATTTTAATAATATATTTTAATCAATTTTTGTGAATTTAATACAGCATGTCTCGATCATATTCAATGCCCATTCCTCTGCCTGACTTCCTCCTGGATACACCCCTTCTCTTTAGTCCCCCACTTGATGCCCACTTTTTTTGAAAGAGACAATCTTGCAGCAGACATCCTTGTCCTCCGGCTCTTCTGCCTCTCTCTCCTGTGAGGTCCCTGAGCCTTAAGTGTAGGTTTATGTTGTGAATATGTCAGTTGAGGACTGGTACCCCGCAGTCCGTTGTTCTCTGCCTTTTGACCAGTTAAAGATTTCTGTGATGGTCTCCATCTGGTGCAAAAACAGGCTTTTTTTTTTTTTTGGTGAAGGTTGAGGCTCTTATCTGTGGATATAAGGACATATTTAGAATGCAGTTAGGAATGGTAGGGTCCATGGCATCAACCAATCACAGGTAGCTGGCTAAATTTACAGCATCAGGCATGCATTTCCTCCTATCGAGCAGGTCTTCAGTCCAGTTTGGTGGCTGTTGGTTGCCCCCAGTATATGAACACAGCTATTACATCTTTTGGAATATCTCATCATGCTGGGCATCGTGGTTCTGGGCATTATAGCCAAGTAGGGCTATTGAATACTTTTATCTCTTTGTAGCTTACAAGACTCCTTCCAATACTGAGAGCCAAGGCTTCCAGGCCAGGTCTAGATGGCTTCCTCCAAGTCCTCTGGCTGAAGCGTACAATATCTTCAGCATGCGATCTTTCCTTCTTTCTCTGGAAGGCCCCAAGCAATGGTAATGACCAATGTTTTAGGAGTCTCTTAGATTCTCCTGACCAACAACTTGAAAGAAGGATTCCCATGCCTAGCATAGGGGGGCTTTGCTAGATAGTCTATGGTTTTGGGGGGAGTACTGTCACCCTAAGTAATATAACCTCATTTAAATTATATACATATACACACATTAACATACACCTATACACAGACCTACATGTTTTATGCAATTTGTGTAACCATAAACTACTATGACTCCCTATGGATTTTTCAAATATTCTCAGTCTTATTTAGCCCTCCCCATGCCTTCTGCTTCTGTGTTGTCCTCACTCCTGTCCCCAGGACTGGGATGCTTCTTTTTGTTGTCAGGTAAACTGTTGTACAAATAACACGTCGGTCAAGTCAGCAAAAAGCATTGCTCAGGTCGGTATCTTATCTCATCAACATTCCTTGCTGCTTGTTCTATTAACTGTGGATCAAGGAGTGTTCAGTTCACAAAGGGAATTGAAGGGAAGTCTATTTGTTCTTTTAGCCCCACCGGTTTTTGAATCATATAATTTGAAGCTGTATGATGAGGCAAGTACACATGCTGAATCGTTCATGTTTGGGAGGTTTGACACAGCATTGCGGATTGCTCGTCTTCATCCCTGTAAATCTTTCCTAGCACTGATAAAGCCAGTGCAATGTTCTTTCATTCGGTATTTATATGGTATCAGAACCATTTCACTTTCATCTATGTGCCCTGTTTTAAAAACCCTGTGATGGTTAGGTTGTTTTCAGAAAAAGCAAGACCTGGGTAGACACCCAGTGGCCCAAGCAGGACCAATCTGGGAGAATTGGCACCTGTCCAGTGTGTACTGAAGCCAGGGAAATCCTGAGGTAGCAGCGGGAAAGGAAGGGGCGGGTCCTGTGGGCTGGGGTGACCAGTTCAAGGGTTCTGAGTGTCCAACGCTGAACTGACACCATTAGAGAGTTTTGAACAGGAAGGCGATGTGACTGTATTTCTGTCTTATCCTGGTCACAGCTGGGTGGACATTGAAGTCCAGGAAAAAGCAGTTTCTTGGTGTTTTCTCTGCTTTCTTTTCTCCAGAAGCCCAGAGCCCTCACACCTGCATGGTCTCCCTGCTTCCCTTTCAAATCTTCCCAGGTCTTCTGTGCCAGCCCAGGTTTCTCGGTTAAGTGGGCACAGACCTAGGGCCAGACAGGGACACTAGTTAGGGACCATGGCAAGATTCCAAGGGGAAGACTTAATGGCAGATTTCAGAGAATATAACCATGACCCACACTTGGGAATCCCCAAATGCGGAATATCAGAGAGTGAAATTTTGAACAAATTGAGCAGGGTTCTTTTAGTGTTTAGCACTGATCCACAGTATTATTCCAGGAGTGACGTTTTCCTCCTGTTATCAATGTCTGGGCTGCATCAGACGCATGCTACATAGTTAGGAGCTCACAACCCCGAGTATCCTTCATAGCATCTACATCTGCTCCCTGGGCACAGAGTGAAGCCCAAGGCCTCCTGGGTATTTCTAATACAGTATGGAGAAGATCAAGACCATAAATGAACATATCACAGGGCACCCAAGAGCAGAAGGCTTCACACTTGGCTGGGCAGTGTGACTGGCTAAGTGGCTTTTCTGTCTTCTCTCTGAGCTGGTTTTCTTCTGTGAGAAGGACTACTAGCCTGTAAAGGACTGTTGAGAGGAATAAAAGATTATTCAGGAGGAAGTCCAAGGACCGCCCACCTCCATCCAGGTCTAGTAAGGTGAGCGTCCAAACTGCCTAGGCTCCCCCAAAGCCAGTACGTGCAGTAGGATCAAAAACCCATTGCCATTGTTCTTGAGTTCTCAGTAGTCTTCATTGTCTGCTATGTTCAGCAAGTCCGGTTTTATCCCATGCTTTTTCAGACCCAGGCCAACTGGCCTTGGTAACCCTGATTGCTCTTCGAGCTGATGAGGGAGGGGGACTTGATCAGAGGAGGGGGAGGGAAATGGGAGGCCGTGGCGGGAAGGAGGCAGAAATCCTTAATAAATAAATAAATTTAAAGAAAAAGAAAAAAAAGGAAAAAAAAAAGATTATTCAGGAAAGGAGAGCCCTGACGTCTTTATCAGAAACAGAAGAAGCTCTCCCGAGCTGTAGCACACTAAATATGTAAACTCATGAGATCAGGACTGAGATTTGCCATGTTTACATATTTGCATTCACATTTACATATTCACATTCATATTAACATATTTACATATCACATTTACATATTTACTTTTGCCAGGCAAATAGCACTTTGTTGTCATGCTGCTCACTGAGTCAAGACAGCCACACCTCTGCCTCAAGTCCAGAGCCCATGTCTTCCTCTGTGACTCCACTTCTAGCCTGTGCATTTCTTCCCTGTTGTTTTCTTGTGTGGGTTCTGCTTTTGTTTCTCCAGGAGCCCAGACCAGTTATACCTGTATTGCCTCCCTGCCTCCCCTCCAAGGGCTCACAGGTCCTCCTTGCCTGGCTCAGCCTTCTTGCTAAAGTGGGCACACCCAGGGTCAGGCGACAGGGCTGCTGCCTGGCTAATTAAAAGCTCCGTAGTCCCGGGCAAGCTCTCAGTGCCTGCAGATCCAGCTGCAGCCAAACGTTTGATTCCAGAGACAAGAACCTCTTTGGACCAAGGTAATTTCTGCTATTTCGAGCCTTCTGAGAGAGACCTTTCACTGCTTTCTGTCTAGCCCCGGGTGCTTCTGGGGGCCTTGACCCGAGGTACAAGGTATCAGAGAAATTAGAGTTGCTTATAATAAAAATGCTGCTTGCATTTTTGCTTATTTCTGCTTTTAGACAACTCTCATGTGAGGCACTGAGGCTCTTGGACCAGGAGGACCGTGAACTATGGGTTCTCATGGTAAGAGACTGTGGACTTTCGTAGATCTTGTGCTATTAAGCAGAATCTCAGAATCAAATATCTCTAGAGATGTTTGAGAGACTTGTGATGTGGCCGTGGATGTTCACATGCAGAATCTTGGAGGTGCTTCTCTGAATGGAGAGCAAAGGGATACACAAGTCAGAGGGGTGGGTTTTCTGACGGAAGAGCAGGAAGTGTAGCCATCCCCTAGCTGTGGGGAGCTAGAACAGGGGTGGGCAGCACACCTTACTCTGTTCTAAGTCTGATGATTCAATGCACAAGAAGGCACCTGGGGTGATGGAACGTCCTCACCCTCCAGATGTGGTGGCAGATGGCATTTCAAAGCCATCACCACCTGGAGACCTAGTACCACACCAGTCACTAAAGGGCTGGGAGCGTCTTCTCATGGCTTGCTGGCCTTGAAATACGTTCTGTCTAGGTACACTTTAAAACATCAGCCTGGGTGCCAGAAAGATGGTTCAGTGCTTAAGGGCACTTGCTGCTCTTGCAGAGGACCACACTGGGCAGCTCACAACTGTCTACAACTCCAGTTCCAGAGGATCAGGCTTTCTCTTCTGACCTCCACAGACAACAGGCACACACTTGGTGCACATGCGCACAGACAAATAAAATACTCAACACATGTAAACACCACAGATAATTCATCAAGACATCTTAATGTGTATATGGGGTGAGGGCTTAGGGAGGCTTTTACTAAAGAAATTTTCATAAAATTCTAGGAGCATATAAGAGAAGAATAAGTTTCTTTTTCTTTCTCATGGCCAGGCAACGATGGCCTTCTCTCCACAATCTAAAGTACGTTATCCTCCTCAAGAAAGCTTTGAAGATTCAGAAAGTAATATCCACAAAGAAAGTAAGTGTGAATCACAAACCTGTTTGGACCGTCTCCGTTTGCTCTCACCGAAGGGTCTAAGGGGCCTGTTTCACTTTCTTAACCCACGAATCTCTTTGCTCTGGCTGAAATACTCAGAAATCTACGTATTAAAATCTCAAGGCACCTAATTCCTTTCTTGTTAGTTACATTTAGATTGTTGTTCCTTCACACACTGCAGCAAGCCATTGATGGGGCATATGCTAGGGTAGGCCAGCTCAAGGGTCTGGGTGGTAGCTAAGCTGGTTGGTCCTGGCCAATGCGACCCCACCCCCTCAGGCGAGGGGCAGGGACAACTCTCCTAGGCCCAAACCATTGGAGCCAGCTCACTCTTACCTGTGGTGAGGGGTGGGGTGGAGAGAGGGGGGTGTCAGCTCTCCCATAATGGGTAGGGTCAGTTGTCCTGCTACAGGGTCCAGCAAGGGGCAGGGCCAGCTATCCCCAGGGCTAGTAAGGGGCAGGGATGGTTCAGCACAGCCCTCAGATTTCAGCACACATAGTCCCTATGACCCCCTGTGGTAACACAAGCCCTTCACTATCAGCCCTGATCTTGGCTGCCTTTGGGCCACTGACCCAGACATGACCCACTGTGGTAGAATGGGCCCGGATGGCACCATGTGACTGTGCAGGCCACCCAGATAGGCCTGGCCCTGGTAGTGGCATGGCTCTCAGACACTAGCATGAGCATAGATTCCAAACTCAGACCCAAACATGGTCCTCGGTAGCAGTCTGGTTTGGATGTCACCATAGCCCCACGTGGCAGCACAGGCTATTCAGATTGGCGTGGCCCAAGTTCCAGTGAGTCCCTCGGACATCAACAAGGTCGCAGGCTGTGGGCAGACCCCTGGCATCAGCAGTAGCTTCTATGGTATCAGGAGCCACATACATCAACACCGCCCCTGACTGCTGTAGGGCCACAGACCCAGATAAGGTCCTAGCAGCAGCTTTACCACAGCCTCAGTGGCAGTACGGCCCTCAGACACCAACATGGCTACAGGATGTGGTCTAGACCCCAGGCATCCGTGTGAGCCCGGTCCTGTGGAAGGATAACCACAGAATCTGCATGACTCGGGGCAACAACAGGATATCCGGGAGGAGTTTCAATGAGGGCCCAGGGATGATGACGGTGTGGCAGGGAACAGAAGCCTTGAACCAGACCAATGACTCGTCGCAATGAATATTTGTGGGTGGGGCTGATCGGACAGAAGGGTGCACATTGTGACATACTGCAGCTCCCAAGTAACTGGGATGCAGGAAGGAGGTGTTGGAAAGATGTCGGAGCGCCCTGAGTTTTTGGTTTTGAATTAGGTTTGCGGGGGCAATGCTGTAGAAGTGAGGGGCAGATATGGAGGAACTGGGAAGAGAGCGGGATTGGGGTGCATGCTGCGGAATTTCCAAAAAATCAATAAAGGATTATGTTAAAAATGAATTGCGTTATTTATTTTGATTAAGATGATTAGATATTACACATACACACTGATGACAGATTTAAGTAGTCTTGGTTGGTGTTGTTATGTGGAGACTTTATAAACCAGGAAAAAGTAACCCCAGAAGAAGTGGCAAGCGTCATGCATCTCCTGCAACCAGGAATGTACCCAGTTCTTCTCTGTGCCTCGATCTGTAACCCATCCCTGCCCTATTTCCCTTCCTGTGGCCATTTCTTCTCAGAACAATGTCTGTCACAGAAATTCACAGTTTGTTGTTATTAGAATGAGCTCAAACCTTAAAGCCAATTATACCCACACCTGTGTCTTGTTATCTGGCAGGTCAGGAATTTCCCAGAACCTACAGGATCTATGACTCCCAACAGATGGTGTGGGTCCTGGCAGGAAATACTCTAATAGCGGTGCCTGCTAGCAGCAATGTCAAGCCTGGTAAGTGACATGAGAGGGGACTGTTACTCTTGAAGATGCATCAGACCCACTGCGAGTGGACATCGGCCTGCATAAGTCTTGTGCCTTCCTTACCTACTTGATGTTCAGAGGACAAGCAAGGATAAAGAGACAGCCCCATGCTACAAAGGAAGATGTATACATAGAAACAACAGCGCACTTACCCTCATGAAAGCATCCTCCAATAGGAGAGAATGGTGTAACAGTCACCAAGTTTCTTTTAGAAAGGCATTCCTTTAAATTCCAACCAACCATACCCATATCTGTAGATTCAAACCCGCCCATCTTTCCACTGTCAAAATTACATGTTCTTCTCTTTCCATATCTCCTCTTCTAATGATGGTGAAAAATTCCTTCTTCCCGTCAGAAGGAAACCCATCTCAGCCTTATCTCATTTCTTTAAAACTTCCATGTTTTGTTTAATCCCCCTCTTAACCTTGCCCATCACAGAGAGACCTCCCATATCATATCCCCAGCCTCAGTACCGAAGCTTGCTCTTCACTCCATCTTTCTCTTCCTTCTATCATTTGTGGGAGCCAGATTTTCACTAGTACTACAGCCTATCCTTACCACCACCAAAAATAGCTTCAAAAATACTTAAAGATTGATTTGGGTGACTAAGTTCAGAGTTTTCAGAGCCTTCTGCTGGCTCCACTGATTTTTTTAGGTATCTGTCAAGACAGACACATGGTATGGTGGAAAAGAGCTGCTATCCTCGTGGTAGACAGAAAGTTGGGAGGAGGTTTTAACCTTCTTGCCTTAAAGGAACATCACTAATAGGTCTGGTATCCAATAACTCATTCAGCTGTGAACTCATGAATGGATTAATCCATTGATGAAGTTAGGACTTTCATGATCTGATCCTGCTTCAATAGTGCCCCCAGGTGATGTTCAAGTTTTCATTATATGGGACTTTGAGGGAAGTATGTCATATCTTGCCCTAAACCAAATATTCAATGTCCTCATCGTGCTTTGTCTTAGGTGAATAGTTAATAAATAGTTTGTCAAATGGGTTTGTTTCCTGTCCTATGCCAAGAAATAGATACAAAATGTCTAAACTCTTGGAAAATTCTTCCTAAATTATTGGATAATTAATTCCAACCAAGAATGATAGAAAATTCACACAACAAGAACTAAAGTAAGATAATGGTTTGTTTCATATATATATATATATATCTATATATCTATATATCTATATATCTATATCTATATATATATATATAACCAGTGGGCTGGGCCAGGCTGGGTTCCATGTTGGTTCCATGATGCCACCAGAGATCAAAGAGTCTCCTTTCTGATTCACCAACCTCAGGTTTGCGTAAGCTATCACTTAAGTGTTTGGTATAGGTAACAGGATGTGACAGATGAAGTATTTCCAGGTGAGTCTAGTCTCTTAAGGAACCTTGTAGAGACCCCCAGGATACCTCTACTCATATATCATGAACCACAATAAGTGCATGACTATATCTTATTTTAATTTTTGGGAAACAATGTGCCCAAGTGACAACCGAGGTTCTGGTATCAAGAAGCAAAAAGAAACTGGTCCCAGGATAGCAACCAGTATTCCCTGTTATGTGGCTAATGTGGGAGCTTTGAAGGAGGAAATGATGATGATGATTGGGAGGGTTGACAGGGTGTGGGTCAAAAGATTGAATTTCTTTCAAAGCCTGACATTGTCCCCATTTTTTATTGTGTTTCCAGTCATTCTTAACTTGATAGCATGTAGAGATCAAGAATTCCAAGATATTGAAAAAGGTAATCTAGTTTTTCTGGGAATCAAGGGTGAGAAACTTTGCCTCTTCTGCGCTGAAATCGGGGGCACACCGACTTTGGAGCTTAAGGTGAGTACCTGCAGCTGGTAGGGGAGGTATACCAGATAGATTTTTATTTAAGGTAGCTTATCAGTTTACAGAATAAAATTGATATCCCTGCAAGGTTGCACTCTTCAGAGTAAGAAAGGAGCCCTTACTTGGCCAGTCTCCCGATAAATAACAATACCACTGAGTTATACAGCATCTTTTTAAACCCCAGATTTGGGAATTAAAGTGAAAACCAGAGCATCAAACCCATGGAAATGTTTCTGAAAGTGAAGGAACAGTGACTTCTCCATTCTTAGTCCTGAGTAACTTCCTCCTAAATAACATCAGAGATGCTAATAAGCCACACTTAGGCAAAGGAATGCTAATCTGAAGTTTTCTGTGTGCTAAAAGAAAAGATATATAGTTAAAAGTCTCATCCCTTGCTAATGATGGAAATTGTAATACATAAATTCACTCAGAGGTTGAGTATTCAGGCTGGCTGGCACAAAACTGTAGATGGGTGTATACCAGAAGCCCTCTCCCTCTACGCCATTCTCTTCCAGGGAGTTCCATACCTCAAAGAATCAGTCCCTTGTATGATGGGACTCTGGGGAAAAGCCAGGCTATTTGGAAACTAGTAGGTGCCTGGGTAGATAGCTTGCTATCTTTTCTTCTGCCTGTATCCCTAACCCATGTCCCTCCTATTGGGCACAGCAGTTACTCCCATGTTGTGCACTCAGTGCTCAGTTACTGTAGCCCCTCTCCCTGGTCATCCTCATTAATAATCTCTTTCTTACCCTAGGATGTAAGCATCATGGAAATATACAAAGAGGGCAAAGCACAGAAAGACTTTCTCTTCTACCACAGCAGAGAGGGTTCTACTTCTGCCTTCCAGTCAGTCTCCTATCCTGGCTGGTTCATAGCCACCCCTGCCATGGCAAGGCAGAAAGTCACCCTCACACAACAGAGGGGTGAAACTACCAGTACCAACTTCTACTTAGAGGCTGAAGATTAAAGTCCAGCATGGCCCATATGTGTGGCTGAGTCCAGGACAAAGAAGCAACCGGATGGAGAATCCTTTACTTGGAAACACAGCAAGGCATCGTAAAAGACCACAATGTCACCTCTGCACCAGAACACACATTGAAGTGTCACTCATCTGAACATCAGTCCAGTGTGAAGCCCAAGAATCACTTTTATCCTTTTCTGATCTCGTCCCACCATCCATTCAGCTACCAAGTACAGTCAAGTCAGAGACTTACATGCAATTCTCCCTCCCTGTTCTCACAGCATCCCATGGGGCAGAGGTGTGGATTCCAGTGAAAAATTCTTCCTTCTTAACTTTACATATGCTTATTGTAAATATGATAAATGCCTGAAAGATAAATACCAAGAATGAAGCAATATAAAAGAAGATTTTATGTGTCTTGATGATCACGACAGATTCAGAACATTATCAGTTAATAATTTGACACACAGTATATGCTTTTATTATGGATATCCTGTTGTTGCTCAAAGCCAGGAGAATCCTTCAGCTGGGCAGGGTGTCTGGGGACAGGATCCACTAGAGCTCCAGGCTGCTGCTGGTTCACATGGTATGACCTTTATGCCGACAGTCCTCGGGCAACTCCACAGAAGTAGAGGCTCCATGTTGCAGACTGGGTCTGTTGACCCAAGGTTGGAATAAGGACCCTTCCTTCAAGCTGCTTCATGGTCCTGCTGGTGCTGGCAGCCGCCACCATCTCTGGAGATACAGCCATTCTCTCTGATGCTGAGTTTCTCGCTGCAGCTGGGGCTTGGGTGGTGGCAGCATCATCTCTGGCTTCCCCATGGTGGCTATAAGGGTGACAGTGGGAGGGAGGAGGCACTGGCTCAGCAGCAGCATCTCTCATCTATGCACCGGGTCCCGCATGGCCACTTCAGGTCATCAGCTGTGGCCTGGTGCAGGCTACCCAGAGTTGGAGGATGTGGGAGAGACTCTATTGTGCTTCTTAATAAAGATGGCCCAGTTCCTCTTTTGTTTGCGTTGTCCTGAAATGCCTGTTGTGTCTTCTTAACACCCTAAATCTGAAGTGTTTGGAGGTCGCACTTTACCTCCCCAGCCAAAGGCAGAACCTTTTCTTCTTCGAAGTCATAGAAATTTTAGTTTCTTATGGGAGATTTCTTTTGTTTGGCTTTGTACTATTCTTGCCTGCTGCATAACAATTTCTCAAGAAATATTGCTAAAATAAATTATCACCGCATACTGTATATTTTGCATCAGTATCAAAGTGTGTTGGCAAGATCTTACATTGCCACATTGGGCAGGGGCAATGTTCAACTCCAAGTAATATCTAAGCAGATGCTGAGCCCCTCAACGAACATGGAACTGAAAAGCACAGAAAGTTATATCTTATTTATTTATTGCTTAGTAACTTCTCATTTCATTTCTTTCTCTACTTTTTAATATGATACTTGTAACCCCAGCCATGAAAGGATGTCCACTCAGGAAGAGGTGGGTACAGACAGAACAGAACTGAATATTCCTGAAGTCTGTCCCCCGCAAGTAGTGTTCACTGCCTGCCTCTCAGAGTGTTGTGGGTATAGTCTGAGGGTTTATACTTTGCCCAAGCCCTCCATCACATACCTTTAGGTATATGCACAACATTTGAGTAACATAGGAGTCCAAAGAATTAATGGAGATGTTATTTTTCTAGGACAGAGCAAGGATAAAGAATAAGATGGCTCTACAGATGAAGAAATAAGGGCAGCGGGGCTGCGTCCCCAACACCCCGGCCGCCTGCCCAGCTAGCTTATGCCCCAAAATAATTACACAGACACTGTATTCTTTTAATCACTGCTTGGCCCTTTAGCCCTAGCCCTTACTGGCTAATTCTGTTATCCCGATCAACCCATCTCTAATAATCTGTGAGAACTGGTCTTACCGGGAAGATTCTAGCCTAGTCCATCCTGGGTCGGAGCTTCATAGCGTGCATCTGCCCAGGAGCCAGGAGCATGGCGTCTCTCTCTGAGGCGTCTGCTCCCGAGAGAGCTGTGGAGTCTCTGAGCTCACTTCCTGTTCCTCCCAGCATTTTGTTCTGTTTACTCCACCCACAGGGCCAAGCAGTTTCTTTATTGGCCAATGACCTTCCTCCATCATTTCCCCTTTTTCGGTTTAAACAAAAAAAAAAGGCTTTAACTTTAACATAGCAAAATTACATATAACAAAAACAGTTATCAAGTAAAAGTTACAATAATCTTTATCATAACTAAGGAAAACTATAACTATAACTAACTATTCTTAATTCCATCAAAGACTCCAGAAAGATACAATACTACCTAAGCAAACAGGAAAAAAATCAACTTTTAAAACTCTAGAAATGACAGAGACATCTCGCTGCCTGGACAGTCACCCAAAGATCTTTTGTACCGTTGGGGCATCCATCTTCAGCCTTCAGGCCCATGCTATCCAGCAGACATTTCCATAAAGCAGGAAAATTCAAAGTCAGTTCAGTCACTATCTGTTGTGTCCTGCAGAATGTCTCGCAGACTCTTTCATGAATCAGGAACCCCGAAAGATCATCTCACCGTAGGCAAGTTCAGTAGTCCTCTCTCTGTGGGTTCTCTGTGTCCAGTTTATGCAATAGTCCAGGCAAGAGCAGTTTCTTGCCCAAATGGCTATCAAACTCCATAAGGATCCTCTTCGATGCCCATCTTCCTCTTTAAGTAGATTGGTGCTGCCAGGAGCAGACGTGTCTCATTGTCATGAAAAGTCCTAAGTTATTAAAACATTAAATGTCCTATTCTGTAATCTTTGAAAGACATGAAGAATGTCTATCTAAAATATATCTCTATATATCTAGAAAATCTAACTAACATGACTACAAGCTTTACTATTATCGATGATCATCTATTAACAACCTATATTTCTTAATTATACAGTACATATTTAAATGAACTACACAATCACAATACCTTAATCAAAATCAGAAACACTTATACATATAACAAAATTGACCTTAAATCTCTGTCAATAAAGCAAAATCTATACTAATGCAAATTATTCATACCTATATCATATCCCCCTTTAAATGTAAAAGAACATTTATAAACATTTTTTGGGAATATGGGCGCAGTTATTTCTCTCCAAACTGCTTCCTGCTGAATGGGGGCGTCGTTAATTAGGTCTTTCATGGTATAACCTGTGTGCTAGTTTCATCTCAGTGGGCAGTTGAGCGAAGCAATTTTCTGAAGATGTTCACTGGAACCCTTCAGGAGGGCGTGGTCCATCATACCAAATCGGAATAGAAGAAATAAACAGCGTCTCATCCTCTGTGAAAACAAAATAAGAAACTCCTTTCCAAAGTATCATATCCTTAGATACAAATTCAAAATATCTATGTTGGATTAGTTCAGCAGTATTTATAAATAAATATCTTTTAGCAGCTGTTGCTCCTTCCTCAGCATTCAAACGATTCAAAGAGAGCATAATAGCATACAGTATCAAGATTCTCTGTGTATTTTCCATCTTTGTTCGTTTTATTTTAACCTCTATTTTGTTTATTTTTACTTTTAACTTTTTGCTTTTTGAGATAAGTTCTCTGTATCTTTGACCTGAAGTAACTCTGTAGACCAGGCTGTCTTTGAACTCTCAGAGATCCACCTGTCTCTGCCTCCCAGGCATTCGGGATTAAAGGTGTACACTACTACACCTTGAACTCACAGAGATCTGTTTGTCTCTGCCTTCTAGGCACTGGGATTAAAGGCGTGTGCTACCACACACAACAACTCTCTTCCTTTTTTTTTTTGTTTTTTACTTTAAGAATTTTGACTTTTAGTCTGCATATATTTTTAACACATTTAAAACCATTTAGAAATTTTCTTTGTCTTTGAATCTCTCTTTAATGTATATCTCTCTTTTTCTAACCACAAGAGTCTTTCATTTACCAAGCAATATCAGTAGGATTAAAGGCGTGGCTTTGCCGGCTGGATCCAGCCCATTCCTTAGCTTTCCAGCCTCATGGCTGAGGTACTGGCTGTAGTCATGTTTATTGCCACAACTGTATGGCATTTCAAGGTTCTTGCCAGCAAGTGAGTTACAACAGACAACACTCAAGTCCTCTCTCGGTAGCCGGCCCTCCTGCCTCAAACAGTCAGAGTTTGCCCTGGCAGGACGGCCCAGAAAGCCGGCATTTTTAAATGGCGCAGCTTTTTTCCTGTTATGGCTGAAAACCGAAAAGCATGTGTTCAGCTTTTGGTCAACACCATTTAAGTGTTTCGTGGCAGGACCTCTTAATGAGTTGCAGGCTTTGCAGCTAAAGCTGAGTCAGGAAGCCTCTCTTAGATGAGGTGCTTGCTTGCCTCTAGCAAGCAGAGTAGAACCGAGAAATTGCTGCTACCAAGAAACCAGGCACAATGCTTTCATTTTGTTCTAGAATTACTTCCCAAGCTGTCTCGGGCTTTATGTGGAAGCAGTTGTCCACGTGGGCGCCAATCTGTAGTAATAAGGGCGGCGGGGCTGCGTTCTCAGCACCCCCGGCCGCCTGCCCGGCTAGCTTATGCCCCAAAATAACAACACACAAACTGTATTCATTTAATCACTGCTTGGCCCATTCTCTTCTAGGCTAATTCTCACATATTAATTTAGCCCATTTCTAATCATCTGTGTGTAGCACCCCAAAGTGCGCTTACCGGGGAGATTCTAGCCTAGTCCATCCTGGGTCGGAGCTTCATCCTGGGAGCTGGGCATGGCGTCTCTCTCAGGCGTCTGCTCCCGAGAGAGCTGTGGAGTCTCTGACCTCACTTCCTGTTCCTCCCAGCATTTTGTTCTGTTTACTCCACCCACAGGGCCAAGCAGTTTCTTTATTGGCCAATGACCTTCCTCCATCATACAGATGACCAGGAGGGACTTCCAACAATGAAGGCCAACACACAGTAGGGCCTGCTACAAAAATTCTGAGTTCTGTAAGCTCAGGAGGTGCATAGAAAGAGTGGCCAGCGGTACTGAAAATGTAATGGAGTCCTGGGTTGTGCTCA